CGCTGCTTTGATGTGTGGACGCTAGTGCCATATAGCCACATATGTGTTTTCGCATCGAATCTAACCGTCTGCAAGTCACAGATGGTTGTATTATCTTCATGCAAACATTGTTGGTTTCGGCATCTTCTCAGTTTGTGATTTTTTGGTTCTCGTTTATTGATCAACCTCCCATTTTGCCCCTGCTTGGTGGTATCTGTTCTCTAAGGGTCATGGATTGGCAGTAGTTCGTTGACTGCTGGTCGTTGACGGTTCTGATCTGATCCGTGGTTCTACTGTCAGCATCAATTCTGGTTGACCTCTGGCTTAGCTCGGCATGATACTTGGTTTTGTGGTGCTATATATCTAGGTGCTCACATTTTTCTACGATGTGATCTTATTGGGTTGGGATATCAAGAGAACGAAATCCTATGACTCAACATTTCCCGCTGGGAATCTTATCATGGGATCTTCCGAACTCGATGGCAGCTGCTAAAGATCTCCATCGAACAATCCTGTGCACAGCATGTATCCACGATTGAATCCAACGAGTTATCATCACTATCGGGACATTGTCACACAACACGATCAAAGACACTTTCTCATACTATCTTGGGGAATATTGAAACATATCCAGAGCGGATCACCTGTTAAACGAGTACACACGGAAACTGGTTTCATCTGGACAAAACTAATGCCTGCAATTGCACGCCGAATGAGTCTCCAAAAAATCCATGCTTGGAGACATCTTGTGTCGCAGCTTAGACCGAGCTAGATATTTCAGCAGCTTATGTATCTCGTGATGCTCATGCAATCTTTTATATAAGTATAGATATAAGTATAGATTAGATTCGATCATTGACAGGAGTGGTTAGAGATGACGAGCATTGCTTCAGTTTTTTATTCATCAACTCATGTCCTCTACAGCAACTCAACCCAACCAAGTTATCGTGGTTGGTGGCGGTCTTGCAGGGTTTTCTGCTGCTAATAGTATTCTTGAGCATGGTGGTAACGTTTTGCTCATTGACAAGTCAGCGTTCTGTGGCGGTAACTCCTCCAAGGCTACTTCTGGCATCAATGGTTCGTGCACCAGAACTCAGAAGAAACTTGGTATCGAGGATTCGAACAAGTTGTTCGAATTTGACTGCATGAAGGGTGGCTCCAAGAGTCCTGAGCTTATTAATACCATGGTTGAGCATTCCGGCTCCTCGGTCAACTGGCTCATGGACAACTTCGATCTCGATCTTTCTCTTCTATCTCGTTTGGGTGGTCACTCTGTTGAGCGTACCCATCGTGGTAAGGAGCGTTTCCCTGGTATGACTATCACTTACGCCGAGATGCAGATGGCAGAGGCTATTTCCAAGGCCCTACCTGATAGATGCCAGATCATCAATAAGGCCCGTGCTACCGAGTTGCTCACCAACAAAGAAGGTGACGTGATTGGTGTTCTGTATACGACTAACGATGGTCAATCACATAAGGTTTTCGGTCCGGTCGTCCTCGCAACTGGTGGATACGGTGCCGATTTCACTAAGGATGGTCTCTTGGCTAAGTACCGTCCTGACTTGCTCAAGTTGTCTACTACTAACGGAGAGCATTGTACTGGTGATGGCATCAAGATGGGTGTTGCAGCCAATGCTGATGTCGTTGATCTCGAGTGGGTACAGGTTCATCCTACCGGTCTCGTAAACCCCAAGGACCCTGACAGTAAGGTCAAGTTCTTGGCTGCTGAGGCTCTTCGTGGTGTTGGTGGAATCTTGCTCGATGCTGATGGTCATCGTTTCTCCAATGAGCTTGGCCGTCGTGATTATGTGTCCGATAAGATGTTCCACAACAAGGGTCCCTTCCGTTTGGTATTGAACACTGCTTCGGCCAACGAAATTCGCTGGCATGTTGAGCACTACAAGGGCCGTGGTGTCATGAAGGACTTCGACAGTGCTTACGATCTCGCTAAGGAGATGGGCATTCCGGCTTCTACCTTGGAGCAGACCTTCAAGGATTACAAGGAGGTTGCCAGTAAGCAGGAGGCCAACCCCGATGGTGGTGAGTATGATGCTTACCCGACCGGCAAGACCTTTGACAAGTTCGGCAAGAAGTTCTTCACAAACTACGACTTCAAGATGGACGATCACTATAGCGTCGCCATTGTCACTCCTCTTGTTCACTACTGTATGGGTGGTCTTAAGATTGACACGGTTGGTCGCGTCATCAGCAAGGAGACGAAGAAGCCAATTCGTGGTCTCTACGCTGCTGGTGAAGTTATGGGAGGTGTTCATGGCAACAACCGTTTGGGTGGTAACTCCCTCCTCGATTGTGTTGTCTACGGCAGAATTACCGGAAAGGACGCCTGTAAGAATTTCCTTCCTGCTCGAGAAGACGTGCCTCTGAAGGATCTTGCCCTCGGTCGTACGAAGCCCAATAAGCGTGCCATTATTGTTGGTGGTGGTTTGGCTGGTTTCAGTGCCTGCAATTCGATTCTTGAGCACGGTGGCAGCGTGTTGTTGCTTGATAAGTCTGCTTTCTGTGGTGGTAACTCGTCTAAGGCCACTTCTGGTATCAATGGATCTTGCACTAAGACTCAGAAGAGACTTGGCATCAAGGATTCCAATGAGCTGTTCGAGTTCGATTGCATGAAGGGTGGTTCCAAGAATCCTCAACTCATCAAGACCATGGTTGAAGCTTCTGGCCCTTCCGTTGACTGGTTAATGGAGAACTTCGATCTCGATCTTTCTCTACTCTCTCGTTTGGGTGGTCACTCTGTTGAGCGTACCCATCGTGGAAAGGAGCGTTTCCCTGGTATGACTATCACTTATGCCGAAATGCAAATGGCCGAGGCTATCTCCAAGGCCCTGCCTGATAGGTGTCAGATCATGAACAAGGCTAGGGTGACCGATCTCATCACTGGGGATGACGGTGAGGTCATTGGTGTTCGCTACACTAAAGATGGCAAGGAACGTTCCGAGTTCGGTCCTGTCATTCTTGCAACGGGTGGTTTCGGTGCTGATTTCTCAAAGGATGGGCTACTCGCCAAGTATCGTCCCGACTTGCTCAAGTTGTCCACTACCAACGGTGAGCACTGCACTGGCGACGGAATCAAGATGGGTGTAGCGATTGGTGCTAAGGCAATTGATCTCGAGTGGGTACAGGTTCATCCTACCGGTCTCGTGAACCCCAAGGACCCTGACAGTAAGGTCAAGTTCTTGGCTGCTGAGGCTCTTCGTGGTGTTGGTGGAATCTTGCTCGATGCTGATGGTCATCGCTTCTCCAATGAGCTTGGTCGTCGTGATTATGTTTCCGATAAGATGTTCCACAACAAGGGTCCCTTCCGTTTGGTATTGAACACTGCTTCGGCCAACGAAATTCGCTGGCATGTTGAGCACTACAAGGGCCGTGGTGTCATGAAGGACTTCGACAGTGCTTACGATCTCGCTAAGGAGATGGGCATTCCGGCTTCTACCTTGGAGCAGACCTTCAAGGATTACAAGGAGGTTGCCAGTAAACAGGAGGCCAACCCCGATGGTGGTGAGTATGATGCTTATCCGACCGGCAAGACCTTTGATAAGTTCGGCAAGAAGTTCTTCACGAACTACGACTTCAAGATGGACGATCACTATAGCGTCGCCATTGTCACTCCTCTTGTTCACTATTGCATGGGCGGTCTTAAGATTGATACTTCTTCTCATGTCATTGGCGAGGGCGATAAGCCTATTCGCGGCCTGTACGCTGCCGGTGAGGTCATGGGAGGCGTTCACGGCAACAACCGTTTAGGTGGCAATTCTCTACTCGATTGTGTTGCCTATGGTCGTATCTCCGGCAAGGATTTGATGGATACTTTCTTCCAATCTGCCAAGCCCGTAGCTTTGAAGGATTTAGCTGCTGGAAGAACGGAGCCTCGTAGACCTGCGATAGTTGTTGGTGGTGGTCTTGCAGGTTTCTCTGCCGCTAACACCATCTTGGAACGAGGTGGCGAAGTTATCCTCATCGATAAGTCTGCCTTCTGTGGTGGTAACTCGTCCAAGGCCACTTCTGGTATCAATGGATCTTGCACTAAGACTCAGAAGAGACT